GAACCAGGACAACCTCGTGTTGGACTGAACCAGGACAGCCTTGTGTTGGACTGAACCAGGACAGCCTCGTGTTGGACTGAACCAGGACAACCTCATGTTGGACTGAACCAGGGCAGCTTTGTGTTGGACTGAACCAGGACAGCTTTGTGTTGGACTGAACCAGGACAGCCTTGTGTTGGACTGAACCAGGACAGCCTTGTGTTGGACTGAACCAGGACAGCCTCGTGCTGGAATGAACCAGGACAGCCTCGTGTTGGACTGAACCAGGACAGCCTTGTGTTGGATTGAACCAGGACAACCTCGTGTTGGACTGAACCAGGACAGCCTTGTGTTGGATTGAACCAGGACAGCCTTGTGTTGGACTTGTGGATACAAGTTGGGACCAAACCTGGAGTGTTTACCTGTCAGGTGTCGGCTGAGCTTCAGCATGCGCAGCGACCTGAGGAGGCGGAGAACCTGCACCACCCGACTCATGTTCTCCAGCTTGGTGGATCCACCGTGGAGACTCTCCACTGCCAGCGTCACGTAGAACGGGAGGATGGCCAGCAGGTCGATCACATTAGGAATGCTTCGACTGAAGCGGCACTTGTCTCGGACGCACAGGAAGCGTAGCACCAGCTCCACCGTGAACCACACAACACACATGTACTCCACGCCATCCAACAGGAGCGGCACGCCCAGGCCCAGCCAGCTCACGCCAAAGTCCTCTTCCAGGTCCAGTGAGATCAGCACCATGTTGATGACTGAGACCACCACAAAAAAAACTGAGAGTGAGCCGAAGGTCTGAGCTGCTCGAGATGTTTCAGGTCTCTCAAGAAGGTCCCAAAGGCGCCGGCGCAGAGTTGGGCAGAAGGCACCTATGAAGTCCTCCCCGCCATTGTCAGGCTGAAACACTGGGTGGAGGTCCAGGGACTCCTTCAGCTCTTTGCGGCGATGGTAACGCTCACGGCAGCAGGAGTTGATAAAGACCTCCTCGATGCCCCAGTACTCAATCTCCTGCTGAAAGGAGATTTCACAAAGCTCCTCCATGACGTGTAGGTGACCTGTCTTGTAGAAGTTCATCACATACCTGTAGAAAAACACAAACAGGTAAAACCAAAACTTTATCAATTCAGCTGAAGTTCAACACCTCCTCCAGCATTATTGGCTAACCCCACTGAGGTCACAGGTCTGTTTTATAAATCCCCTGAACCTGAAGGCAGCCTGACATCATGTCTGTGATGAAGAAAACCAGAGGAGCCAGAGAAAACCCAAACAAGAACCAGAAGAACATAAAAACTACACACAGACAGACCTGGGGTCAGATCAAACCCAGGACCTTCAGACTGTGAAGCAACAGTGCTAACCACTGAGCCACTGAGCTGCTATGAGGAGGACTGGTCCACATGTGTAGGGTACACCACCTCACCTCACCTTTGGTTGACCTTTGACCTCCTGTCCTCTGGGAATGGAACATGTTCTCAAGAGATTTGCTCTTTGTTGATAAAAACAAATAAAACATTCTGTCTGTTGCTGTTTCTCAAACATGTTATAATTCCAATGTTTTAATCCTTTAATGTGTCTAAGCTTTACTTAATCAGTTTTAATAGTCGATTAGTCAATGTTCATCATTAATCATTAGTTAATTATAATATTAATCCAATGTTCTGAGTTGAGTTAGTGCTAACAGAATATTTGTGTGCTGTTGTTACTGTTGTGTGTTCATACAGAACAACACACACGTTCCCATCAGAACCTTGCACCACACTTACACCTGCAGATAACACACCACACACTCCTACACACTGACAGTGAGAACACAACACCTCGCTGTGTCTTTAAAAACTCCTTTTTACTTCCTGTTAGTCAGTCTTCCTGTTGTGGCTCCTCTGAGGCGCTGCTCGCCTCTCAGCTCTTACAACAAGAGAACAGCTTTAGTCTGAACTGTTCCTGAGCTTAAAGCAACCACTGGAGCTGTCCTTTTACCTGCTGTGGGGTTTCCCAGGTCCCTGACTGGTCTCTGGTTGCTCCCAGTCCATGAAAAGGGCCTGCTGCATCCCTTTGACTGAGCAGAAAGGCTGTACAACGAGTCGACACCAGAGCTGAGGTCTTGTCTCGTTTGGTTGGTCCTGGGCTTCGGTCAAAGAGCTGCTGGTCTGTGCTCACCTTTGGCTCTCAGGCTCACGGCTAAATGACACAATCTAAAGGTCCTAACCTTTTAAGATTTATTCTTTTGTCTGTTTGTCCTGCTCTTCACTTCTCTGTCTCCTACATTCACACACACTCACAACCCCAAGTGTACATAATTAGTCTGCTTTTCCTCAGCTAAAAGTGTTAGACAAACTGCTTAGTTAATTAGTTCAACTGCTTGAAAAGTAGAAATTAATTGTGTTGTATTGAGAGCTCATTTATTGTTCAAACCATTGTAACCAGTTGTTAATCATGCAGTGTTATCCTCTAATAAAAGTCAGTTAGTTTTAACTGGCCAAAATAAAATCATGACTCTTTGTGTGTTTTCTGTGTATTTTAATGGTTGAATTGTTTCGATAACTCTGGGATTTATGGACCTACAGATACGCTCTTAATTAAAATCAGAACCATGATTTTAAAGAGGGTGACATCTACACATGTGAAGCTCAACACCTCCTCTAACATGAGGAGGACTGGTCCACATGTGAAGCTCAACACCTCCTCTAACATGAGGA